CCGGCTCAAAGACGGAGCAGAGCGTAGCACTGCTGGAACAGAAGTGGTGCCTGGTCAGCAGCAAGATGGAGGAGAGAAAGGTAGCGTTGGCGGAGAGATGCCATCCAGCCTTCCCCGTGAGCCGGGCTGGCAGCTCCCCGCTTTGCTGCTCTGCTTTTCCGGGAGGGATGGAGCCGGGCAGGGCTGGAGAGGAGCCACGGGGGGGTTAAATTTTCTTATTTGATTTGATTTTAAGACAGCCTCTCTTGGTTGCGCAGGTTGAGTTTATCCTTCAGATGGTGCTGCCTGAGCGTCAAGCTGTTATTTTATTTTTTTTTCTAGATAGTCGTCAAGAGTCGCTTAAATCACATAGAAAACGAGAGTAAAAATTGCGTTTGGGTTAATTTAGAGGAGAGGTGGGAAGAAGCCTCCCGCAGCTCTGAAAGGCAGGCTTTGTTGGTCCTCTGCGAGACAGCAGGCCAAATCCTCCTCCGAGCTGCCTCCGTCCTTGGCGTTTGGCTGCTGATGAGATAAAACAAGGGACGCGGTGGCCTCAGCCCAGAATAAATTTGCGGTGCTGCAGCTGTTGCCATCGAAATATCATCCACCTCCCTCCCCAGCCGCTCTCCCCGTGGCCATCCCTGTCTCAGGAAGCCGAGGGTGATGCAGCTGCTCGTGTGCCGATGGAGGTCTCTCCTTTCAGGGGGGCCATTCTTGTTTTGAAAGAAAGCGATGGCTTTCACCGCAGCCCCCTCCCCTTGCTAAACAAGTCGCGTTCCCGGGCCGGGGCGATGAGGTTCCTGTTGGAGGGACGTCTCGGCAGCGACACAAAGGCTGCCTCTGTCTGCTAAACCGCGCATCGGGAACTCTCACCCTCCCTGTTGTAATTTTTTTTTTTTCCCCCCTCCCTCCTTCTCTCCCTCCCCGCTGCGGCAGGCGAAGCTGGAGGAGGCACTAGCCCTGGCCACCGACTTCCAGAACTCCCTCCAGGACTTCATCAACTGGCTGACGCTGGCCGAGCAGAGCCTGAACGTCGCTCCCCCCGCCAGCCTCATCCTTGCCGCCGTGCTGGCCCAGATCGATGAGCACAAGGTACCGGTGCCAGCAGCACCCAGCGGTTCCCCAGGATGGATGGAGGGACCCATGGTGGCACCTCCTCGCCCATGAGCTGCTTGTAGGTACATCCAGCTGCCCTTACAGATGAGGGGACGTCTTTGTCGTTTGTAGGTGTTCGCCAACGAGGTGAACGCTCATCGGGATCGGATCATCGAGCTGGATCAAACTGGGAACCAGCTGAAGTTCCTTAGTCAAAAACAGGATGTGGTGTTGATCAAGAACCTGCTGGTGAGCGTCCAGTCGCGCTGGGAGAAGGTTGTCCAGCGCTCGGTGGAGCGGGGACGGGCTCTGGATGACGCCAGGAAGCGAGCCAAGCAGGTGAGAAACACGGGAAGGGTGCAACACACCCCCGGGTATGGCCAACCTTGGGGGACAGGAGGTGCCAAGACCAGAAAGGGGCTGGGGACACCACCAGTGTTCAGTTTCAGACTTGCTCCTGGTCCTTTGCAGTTCCACGAAGCTTGGAAGAAACTGATTGATTGGCTGGAGGATGCAGAGAATCACCTGGACTCGGAGCTGGAGATTTCCAACGATCCCGACAAAATCAAGCTCCAGCTCTCCAAGCACAAGGTAGAACTTTACCAAAGTGAGACTGGTGCTGGGCGCTGGGTGGAAGGGTGCTGTGTCGGGAGGAGGAAGAGAAGGAAAATGTCTCCTCTGCTGTCAGGACAGGGGAAAGGCATGTCCACACCCACCGCTGCCATGGAAAATGTTCAGCTGGGGATCTTCATGAGCACCATGGATCTTCAGAGAGACAAGACCAGCCTTTCTGACACCGTTTTGTTTTTCTCTCCGGGTCCCAGGAGTTCCAGAAGACACTGGGAGGGAAGCAGCCCGTCTACGACACCACCATCAGAACAGGCAGAGCCCTCAAAGAAAAAGCCTTGTTTCCAGATGACACTCAAAAGCTGGACAATTTACTGGGAGAAATCCGGGATAAGTGGGACACGGTGTGCGGCAAATCTGTGGAAAGGTGCGTCCAGCCCTGGCGTTGCGCGAGGTGGAGAGCAGAGGAGGGGAGGCAGTTTCCTGGGGTGGTTGGAGGAGGTCACAGTGACATGACAAAAGGTGAGTTTGTTCATGACTGTCCACATGGATGTGTGTTTTTCAGGCAGCACAAGCTGGAAGAAGCCCTCTTGTTCTCCGGCCAGTTCATGGACGCGCTGCAGGCGCTGGTGGACTGGCTCTACAAGGTGGAACCCCAGTTGGCTGAAGACCAGCCTGTCCATGGTGACCTGGACCTGGTCATGAACCTGATGGATGCTCACAAGGTGAGAGCGCCTTGGACAGCTCTTCTCGGAGATGGGAGTGGGGCTTGGCTTCCCCCAGAGCTGGTGCCTTGCTGCAGAGCTGCGTCTCGCCGCTTGGCTTTGCTGCCCTGGACAAGGAGGGGAAAAAATGGGGCAAACAAGTGGGAAGAAACTTCTACGTTACTGGAGAGGTTACAGCAGCTGGAGATGTGTTCTTCTGAGATGTTATCGGTCAGACTGTTGAGGGTTTTGAAAGGTGGCTGAGTTTATAGTCCTCTCTAAACTCTGGTCTTGGCAGTTTTCTCCAATGTGTCTTGGAGACTGGTGCTCCTGGGTTTGGATTAGATCGGACGCTGAAATCCCCGGGTGGGGCTTGGGTGTCCGTTCCCCCCATGTGAAACATCCCGCTGGGACTGACCAGCCCTGCCGGGCTTTGGCCGTCTGTCCCTCCAGGTCTTCCAGAAGGAGCTGGGGAAGCGCACGGGGACGGTCCAGGTGCTAAAGCGCTCCGGCCGGGAGCTGATCGAGAACAGCCGGGACGACACAACCTGGGTGAAGGTGCAGCTGCAGGAGCTGAGCAACCGGTGGGACACGGTGTGCAAGCTGTCCGTGTCCAAGCAAACCCGCCTGGAGCAGGCCCTGAAGCAGGTGAGCAGACGGCTGTGGGTGGGAACGGTCTCAGAGAGCTTCGCTGGGCACCAGGTCTGTGCCGGGAGCTCAACACCGACCTCCGAGAAGAGGTTTTACCCCATGACTGATCTCCTGGCCGAGCAGGACGCCCAGCCCTGCACTGAGAACTGCAAAGCAGAGGGTTGGTGTCAGTGATTTCCTTGTTTTTTTCCCCAAATAAGAGCCGATAAAGGCTGATTTGAAAAGAGACGGTGAAAAGATCTCACCCATGAGCACAGCAGGAGCGGTGATCAGGGGCTGTCCAGGCTGGGGTTTGCTAATGGCCAGTGCAAAAGATTGAAGCTAAAAAAATAAAAAAGGTCAAAGGCTCTAAAGCAGTTTTTACATCAAATCGGCAATTTACCGAATAAACCACCCAGGTGCCAAATGGCTCAGAATACAGGTCGTTTTGCTGTTTTTAAAAACATTCAGTTCTTCAGTGTGGCCGATGCCAAGGGCAGGGAGATGCCCAGCGACTGCGGGACCCATCTGCTGCTGCTGCACAAACCCAGGCCAGCAGCCAGGGCTTTTTTTTCCCTTTTTTAATTTATTTTTCGAGTCCTTTCAGCCCTTTGTCTCTGCAGCTCTCAGCAGTGAATTGAGCGGTGGGTTTCGGGAGGAGGGGGGCTAACCCTGTGCTTTTGTCACCGCAGGCAGAGGAGTTCCGCGCGGCCGTGCACATGCTGCTGGAGTGGCTCTCGGAGGCAGAGCAGTCCCTGCGCTTTCGGGGAGCGCTTCCCGACGACGCCGAGGCGCTGCAGTCCCTCATCGATGCCCACAAGGTAGCGGGGAGCTCTGAAAGGCAACCCGAGCAAAATGGATGGGGGAGGACGTTGCGGAATAATTTCTTTGGGGGGTCTTTCAGGAGTTCATGAAGAAAGTGGAGGAGAAGAGAGCGGACGTGAATGTGGCGGTGGGCATGGGGGAGGTCATCCTGGCCGCCTGCCATCCCGACTGCATCACCACCATCAAGCACTGGATCACCATCATCCGAGCCCGGTTCGAGGAGGTGAGTCCCCCGGGCTTCGGTCCAGGCTGGTGGTGAGAGGTGATGGTGGCCACCACCACCAGGGATGGGTTCCTGCCCCTGGCTCCCCACCCTGGGCTCATGGGGATCTCTGCGTTTCCACCAGGTTCTCACGTGGGCGAAGCAGCACCAGCAGAGACTGGAGTCTGCGCTTTCCGAGCTGGTGGCGAACGCAGAGCTGCTGGAAGAGCTCCTGGCTTGGATCCAGGGGGCTGAGACAACCCTCATCCAGCAGGACCAGGAGCCCATGCCGCAAAATATCGATCAGGTCAAAGTCCTCATCTCCGAACACCAGGTTAGCCCAGCGCCAGCACTGGGGAAAGGGACAGGGATGGAAGTTGGGGATGCCCCATCCCTGGAGGGGTTCAAGGCCAGGCTGGATGAGGCTTTGGGCAACCTGGGCTGGTGGGAGGTGTCCCTGCCCATGGCAGGGGGTGGCACTGGATGGGCTCTAAGGTCCCTTCCAACCCAAACCGTCCCGGGATTCCCTGAACTCCAGCGTGTGCAAAGCCAGCACCATGCCGTAGCTTGACCAGCAGCCCCCATCGCTGGTGTTTAACGCTCCCGTCCCTCTATGGGCTGGGCACGTCCCAGCGAGGATCTGGAGCAACAGGAGACCAAAAACATCTTGCAACTCCAAAGGTTCTCTTGTCCCTTCTGTTTTGACAGTCCTTTATGGAGGAGATGACACAGAAGCAGCCAGACGTGGACCGGGTCACAAAGACGTACAAGAGGAAAGCCACGGAGCCCCCCCACAGGCCCTTCATCGAGAAGTCCCACAGCAACCGTACGTCTCCGCTCGAGGCGCGGCTTTCGGTGAAACCTGCTCCGATGGGAGGAAATGAAACGTAGAGGAAACTCATTAACTCTGATTATCAATTAACAAAGCATCCTGCATTGACAGCCACCAGGAACGCGGCTGAGACTTGTCGGGAGGGGACAATCCAGGTGGCATTTCCCAAAGTGCCCGTGCCGGCGTGTGCTGCGCCTGGGGACGCTCGTGCTGTCGCTGCTCTTCTCTTTCTTTCTGTGGTTGCTTTGTCGTGAGGTTTTGGGAACTTTTTAAATGTTATTTCTTGAAACCAGAGGCTGTTGTGAAATCCCGAGAGCAAAGGCAGCACCGGGGGAGGGTGGGGGGAGAGGCATCCGTCACCTCGTCCTCCTACCTGGGGACACTGCGTCCCTTTGGAGAGCAGCCGGCGGGGCCGTGGGAGGTTTTCTATTTGAAAAATAAAATATATTTCATTGCTGCTCTTCTCCTGCACCCCTCAGCCTTGCTGAACCCATCAACACCACCTCAAACGATTCCTTTTCTCTCTTTTTCCAGGAAAATCCTTGAGTCAGGCCACCACCCCCAGCATGCCCATTATCTCCCAGTCGGAAACGAAGAACCCCCGGATTAACCAGCTCTCGGGGCGCTGGCAGCAGGTCTGGCTGCTGGCGCTGGAGCGGCAGCGGAAGCTGAACGACGCCCTGGACAGGCTGGAGGAGGTAACGCCGCCGCGTCCGGGGTGGGGGGGACACGGTGCTGGGGGTTTGCTCGCTGGAGAGGTGCAAGGAACGTTTGGAATTAGTGTCACCTCTGGAATTGCCCGGCTCTTGCAGACAGTTCCTGCTGCCTTTCTGAAAATGCCAAAAAAAAA